CGTCGGGGGTTGGTCAGTCAGGGAGCTTAGTTAATAAGCGCCAAGACTGACCAATCCTTATAGACGATCATTGGTGCGGTGGTCACGGTACTGTGTACGTTTAGGGGTGATCCTGGACGGCATGGGTTCGAATCCTGGCCGGGTCAAAGAGTTCTTAGTGATATATGGCTTGCGCGTTCATGCAGCTTTCTCACACATGTTAGACTCAGTGCGGCCCGTGCATGCGCCAGAATTTGATGAAAAACTGTACCCAAATGGATCCATGAGTGTCGTCGGGGGTTGGTCAGTCAGGGAGCTTAGTTAATAAGCGCCAAGACTGACCAATCCTTATAGACGATCATTGGTGCGGTGGTCACGGTACTGTGTACGTTTAGGGGTGATCCTGGACGGCATGGGTTCGAATCCTGGCCGGGTCAAAGAGTTCTTAGTGATATATGGCTTGCGCGTTCATGCAGCTTTCTCACACATGTTAGACTCAGTGCGGCCCGTGCATGCGCCAGAATTTGATGAAAAACTGTACCCAAATGGATCCATGAGTGTCGTCGGGGGTTGGTCAGTCAGGGAGCTTAGTTAATAAGCGCCAAGACTGACCAATCCTTATAGACGATCATTGGTGCGGTGGTCACGGTACTGTGTACGTTTAGGGGTGATCCTGGACGGCATGGGTTCGAATCCTGGCCGGGTCAAAGAGTTCTTAGTGATATATGGCTTGCGCGTTCATGCAGCTTTCTCACACATGTTAGACTCAGTGCGGCCCGTGCATGCGCCAGAATTTGATGAAAAACTGTACCCAAATGGATCCATGAGTGTCGTCGGGGGTTGGTCAGTCAGGGAGCTTAGTTAATAAGCGCCAAGACTGACCAATCCTTATAGACGATCATTGGTGCGGTGGTCACGGTACTGTGTACGTTTAGGGGTGATCCTGGACGGCATGGGTTCGAATCCTGGCCGGGTCAAAGAGTTCTTAGTGATATATGGCTTGCGCGTTCATGCAGCTTTCTCACACATGTTAGACTCAGTGCGGCCCGTGCATGCGCCAGAATTTGATGAAAAACTGTACCCAAATGGATCCATGAGTGTCGTCGGGGGTTGGTCAGTCAGGGAGCTTAGTTAATAAGCGCCAAGACTGACCAATCCTTATAGACGATCATTGGTGCGGTGGTCACGGTACTGTGTACGTTTAGGGGTGATCCTGGACGGCATGGGTTCGAATCCTGGCCGGGTCAAAGAGTTCTTAGTGATATATGGCTTGCGCGTTCATGCAGCTTTCTCACACATGTTAGACTCAGTGCGGCCCGTGCATGCGCCAGAATTTGATGAAAAACTGTACCCAAATGGATCCATGAGTGTCGTCGGGGGTTGGTCAGTCAGGGAGCTTAGTTAATAAGCGCCAAGACTGACCAATCCTTATAGACGATCATTGGTGCGGTGGTCACGGTACTGTGTACGTTTAGGGGTGATCCTGGACGGCATGGGTTCGAATCCTGGCCGGGTCAAAGAGTTCTTAGTGATATATGGCTTGCGCGTTCATGCAGCTTTCTCACACATGTTAGACTCAGTGCGGCCCGTGCATGCGCCAGAATTTGATGAAAAACTGTACCCAAATGGATCCATGAGTGTCGTCGGGGGTTGGTCAGTCAGGGAGCTTAGTTAATAAGCGCCAAGACTGACCAATCCTTATAGACGATCATTGGTGCGGTGGTCACGGTACTGTGTACGTTTAGGGGTGATCCTGGACGGCATGGGTTCGAATCCTGGCCGGGTCAAAGAGTTCTTAGTGATATATGGCTTGCGCGTTCATGCAGCTTTCTCACACATGTTAGACTCAGTGCGGCCCGTGCATGCGCCAGAATTTGATGAAAAACTGTACCCAAATGGATCCATGAGTGTCGTCGGGGGTTGGTCAGTCAGGGAGCTTAGTTAATAAGCGCCAAGACTGACCAATCCTTATAGACGATCATTGGTGCGGTGGTCACGGTACTGTGTACGTTTAGGGGTGATCCTGGACGGCATGGGTTCGAATCCTGGCCGGGTCAAAGAGTTCTTAGTGATATATGGCTTGCGCGTTCATGCAGCTTTCTCACACATGTTAGACTCAGTGCGGCCCGTGCATTCGCCAGAATTTGATGAAAAACTGTACCCAAATGGATCCATGAGTGTCGTCGGGGGTTGGTCAGTCAGGGAGCTTAGTTAATAAGCGCCAAGACTGACCAATCCTTATAGACGATCATTGGTGCGGTGGTCACGGTACTGTGTACGTTTAGGGGTGATCCTGGACGGCATGGGTTCGAATCCTGGCCGGGTCAAAGAGTTCTTAGTGATATATGGCTTGCGCGTTCATGCAGCTTTCTCACACATGTTAGACTCAGTGCGGCCCGTGCATTCGCCAGAATTTGATGAAAAACTGTACCCAAATGGATCCATGAGTGTCGTCGGGGGTTGGTCAGTCAGGGAGCTTAGTTAATAAGCGCCAAGACTGACCAATCCTTATAGACGATCATTGGTGCGGTGGTCACGGTACTGTGTACGTTTAGGGGTGATCCTGGACGGCATGGGTTCGAATCCTGGCCGGGTCAAAGAGTTCTTAGTGATATATGGCTAGCACGTTCATGCAGCTTTCTCACACATGTTAGACTCAGTGCGGCCCGTGCATGCGCCAGAATTTGATGAAAAACTGTTCCCAAATGGATGCATGAGTGTCGTCGGGGGTTGGTCAGTCAGGGAGCTTAGTTAATAAGCGCCAAGACTGACCAATCCTTATAGACGATCATTGATGCGGTGGTCACGGTACTGTGTACGTTTAGGGATGATCCTGGACGGCATGGGTTCGAATCCTGGCCGGGTCAAAGAGTTCTTAGTGATATATGGCTTGCGCTTTCATGCAGCTTTCTCACACATGTTAGACTCAGTGCGGCCGGGCATGCACCAGAATTTGATGAAAAACTGTACCCAAATGGATCCATGAGTGTCGTCGGGGGTTTGTCAGTCAGGGAGCTTAGTTAATAAGCGCCAAGACTGACCAATCCTTATAGACGATCATTGGTGCGGTGGTCACATTACTGTGTACGTTTAGGGGTGATCCTGGACGGCGTGGGTTCGAATCCTGGCCGGGTAAAAGAGTTCTTAGTGATATATGGCTTGCGCGTTCATGCAGCTTTCTCACACATGCTAGACTCAGTGCGGCCCGTGCATGCGCCAGAATTTGATGAAAAACTCTACCCAAATGGATCCATGAGTGTCCTCGGGGGATGGTCAGTCAGGGAGCTTAGTTAATAAGCGCCAATACTGACCAATCCTTATAGACGATCATTGGTGCGGTGGTCACGGTACTGTGTACGTTTAGGGGTGATCCTGGACGGCATGGGTTCGAATCCTGGCCGGGTCAAAGAGTTCTTAGTGATATATGACTTGCGCGTTCATGCAGCTTTCTCACACATGTTAGACTCAGTGCGGCCCGTGCATGCGCCAGAATTTGATGAAAAACTGTTCCCAAATGGATCCATGAGTGTCGTCGGGAGTTGGTCAGTCAGGGTGCTTAGTTAATAAGCGCCAAGACTGACCAATCCTTATAGACGATCATTGATGCGGTGGTCACGGTACTGTGTACGTTTAGGGATGATCCTGGACGGCATGGGTTCGAATCCTGGCCGGGCCAAAGAGTTCTTAGTGATATATGGCTTGTGCGTTCATGCAGCTTTCTCACACATGTTAGACTCAGTGCGGCCCGTGCATGCGCCAGAATTTGATGAAAAACTGTACCCAAAAGGATGCATGAGTGTCGTCGGGGGTTGGTCAGTCAGGGAGCTTAGTTAATAAGCGCCAAGACTGACCAATCCTTATAGACGATAATTGGTGCGGTAGTCACGGTACTGTGTACGTTTAGGGGTGATCCTGGACGGCATGGGTTCGAATCCTGGCCGGGTCAAAGAGTTCTTAGTGATATATGGCTTGCGCGTTTATGCAGCTTTCACACACACACACACACACACACACACACACATATATATATATATATATATATATATATATATATATATATATATATATATATATATATATATATAGTGTATTTATCAATAATGCATTCATAACTCATCAAGTTCTGAAATTTCTTTAATTTATTCGTAATCCCGGACAGTGCTGCAGTGTGCGAAATATTTTCTAGTCAGAGTTTACATTAGGCAAAATATGCATCCGCAGATGGTGCAGACTTCCACGTATACTTATAACTGAGCCAAAACCGAGAAGTAGCTACATCTGGGAGTTTGTTAATTTTATTGAATAATCTACTGATATGTGACTTTTTGCATGATTGAATAATGATAAATGGAATGGCTAGTGATAATTATTGTATCTATTTACATATTCAGTCACAAGCATGATACAATTTTGCCTTAAGAAGTTAAGCGCAATTAAAGAACTGCAGCTGCTAAGACAACTGTAGTTCCAGCAGCATCGTTTGGGGGGAAATGGGTGGTGAACAGAACCATCGGTGTATATGATTTTAGAGAGGAAGTGCTAGGATATCAGTTTGGCTTAAGGCATTGCTTTTGCCTCAAGACGAAGCCTGCCCAGATTTTAATTCAAAATCTTCGGGAGTGAAATATTAAATATTTTTGAAACGTTCACTTCGAACACACGAAGTGAGAAAACACTTTTCGACAATATTTTCGAACATAATCAGTTACAAATCATTTGAGTGGTGTTCAAGAATCATAAGTTCATCATTGGAATTTATGGTGAAATTGGGACAAACTTCAAAAAGTCAATTTTTAGCACTTTCTCATTTAAGTACGTCCTCGATAAATATGTATTTGAGGATAACTGTATTCCTCTATCGCTAGGGTTCACAGGATGAGTAAGTGTTGTATAATAGCCTAATGCTGAAGGCAGCTACAACCAATCAGTGAAATTGAAGATAGGAAAGGGCGGGGTTTGGAGGCAGAGTGGGCGTGGCTGTTGGGGGTAATCACAGCAGAGCCCTACTCCACACCCCGACGGGGCACCACGCCACACACGCTGACGGGGCACCACGCCACACACACGCCAGGGCACCGCATCACAATCAGCACCCAGCGCCCCAGACGACAATACCCACGCCAGGTTTGTTAGGTGATCGGTGAATACACTTTGTTTTGGTGCTTCCTTATCATCTGCCCATCATAGTTGTCTGGGTGCTTCATCACCATCCACCCATCATAGTTGTCTGGGGTGTTTCATCATTATCCACCCATCATAATGATCATGGTGCTTCATCACTACCCACCCATCATAGTGATCTTGGTGCTTCATCAGCAACCACCAATGATAGTGATCTTGGTGCTTCATCATCATCCACCAATGATAGTGATATTGGTGCTTCATCATCATCCACCAATAATAGTGATCTTGGTGCTACATCATCATCCACCAATGATAGTGATCTTGGTGCTTCATCATCATCCACCAATAATAGTGATTTGGTGCTTCATCATCATCCACCAATGATAGTGATCTTGGTACTTCATCATCATCCACCAATGATAGTGATATTGGTGCTTCATCATCATCCACCATTAATAGTGATCTTGGTGCTACATCATCATCCACCAATGATAGTGATCTTGGTGCTTCATCATCATCCACCAATAATAGTGATCTTGGTGCTACATCATCATCCACCAATGATAGTGATCTTGGTGCTTCATCATCATCCACCAATGATAGTGATCTTGGTGCTTCATCATCATCCACCATTGATAATGATATTGGTGCTTCATCATCATCCACCCATCATAGTGATCTTTGTGCTCATCAGGCTATGGGTGCCTCGTAGCCTGGTGGATAGCGCGCAGGACTCGTGATTCTGTGGCGCGGGTTCGATTCCCGCACGAGGCAGAAACAAATGGGCAAAGTTTCTTTCACCCTGAGTGCCCCTGTTACCTAGCAGTAAATAGGTACCTGGGTGTTAGTCAGCTGTCACGGGCTGCTTCCTGGGGGTGGAGGCCTGGTCGAGGACCGGGCCGCGGGGACACTAAAAAGCCCCGAAATCATCTCAAGATAACCTCAAGATATAACCATCACCATAACGTAGTTAAGTGAGCCTCACATTAAGCACCGTTCGAGGGACGAGCTTTTACTGAACTGTTGAGCGTTGTTGTGTAAAGTGTTCCCTCGCGCTGGGACATTGTCTCTGTTGTAGGTGCGCGTATACCATACTGTCTTGTGACAGCTTTCAATTTAATTAATTTTATTAGGGCGTGTGCAAGATTTTGTACATATGTTTAGTGTTTAGCAATAATAAAATACAGCGACCTCTTCCATCCACAGCAACAGTGACCTCTGCCGCCCACCACAGCAGCAGTGCTGACCTTTTCCTCCCACAGCAGCAGAGGACGCAGACATGGTTCACGTGGAACTTCTCTCACTGCTGGGGCTTACGGCCATGTTCCTGGCAGGTAAGTTACCTACATTGTTTCCCTTCTCTCAGTGTTTAATGGAGTAGTATACTCTTAATGCTTTGTAATGGGGTAGTATACTCTTAAGGCTTTGTAATGGGGTAGAATACTCTTAAGGCTTTGTAAGGGTAGTATACTCTTAAGGCTTCGTAATGGGGTAGAATACTCTTAAGGCTTTGTAATGGGGTAGTATACTCTTAAGGCTTTGTAATGGGGTAGAATACTCTTAAAGCTTTTTATGTGGTAGTATACTCTTAAGGATTTGTAATGGGGTAGTGTACTTCTAAGGCTTTGTAAAGGGGGGGAGTATACTCCTAAGGCTTTATAATGGGGTAATATACTCGTAAGACTTTAGTGTTTTATCAATTGTTGGTTTAAATTTGTTTACATTTGTTAATGTGAGGCATAATGTGTTGATTCCTACTCGCCCAGTTGTTCCTGAGGGCTGAGATCTAGCTCCTGGACCCTGCTGTTGCACTCGCCCAGTTGTATCTGAGGGTCGAACTGTAGCTCTTGGGACCTTCCGTTATACTTGCCCCAGTTTTACCTGAGGGTCAAGCTGTAGCTTTATACGTGTTTTAGCAACAACTCAACACTAGAGTTTCATTCTCTAATGGTGGTCTCTTGTATGTGGTGGAACAAATCATATTAGCGTCACATATGCCGGAGATGTTATTCTACTTATATATTCTCTGATGTAAAGCTCGTTGCTATATCTATTTTTTGATGCTCTCATTTTGTCTTCGAGTTGAATCATCCATCCTATTATTAGTATTTCATCCTTTTATTCAGAAGTTCCTTGTAGTTCAACCAATATCATGGGGCCTGACGGCTGAGTGGACAGCGCTCGGGGCTCGTAGACTTAAGGGTCCGGGTTTGATCCCTGGCGGAGGCGGAAACAAATGGCAAACCCCCTGATGCCCGTGTTCACCTAGCCGTAAATAGGTACTTGGGAGTTGGACAGCTGCTACGGGCTACTTCCTGATTATGTGTATTTGTGAAAATTAGGATTAAAGACTTGCCCGAAATGCTACATTTGCAAGTGGCTGTAATAGAATGTAAGAACTCTTGTATATGTAAAGAAAAAAAACGTGCTCCATTGTTCATCATAGTCTCGTAGAATACTTCAGAGTTCATCATAGTCTCTTTTAGATCTCCATAGTATATCAGAATATCACAAAGTACTCCTCAGTTCATTACAGCATCTCAAAGTACCCCTTAGTTCATCACTGCATCTCAAAGTACGTTGTAAATATTTAATCTCACAGATTACCCTTCATTTATTCTAATATCCAAAAGTACCACCTTGTTCATCATAGTATCTGAAAACACCCTGTAGTTCATCTTAGTCTCTCCAGGTACCCAGGAGTTCATCATGGTACCCGAAAGTACTCTTTAATTCTTTGGTCTCCTAAAGTATTCTGTCCTTAATCAAAGTATCTTAGAGTATTCCATGTTTCATCATAGTCTCCCGTCACCCCATATTACATCACAGTCTCCCAAGGTATACTTTAGTTCATCATAAGGTCACAATCCCTTACTTCATTTAATCTCTTATAATACTCTTCAGTTTACCATAGAATCTTAAAGTACCCCAAGTTCATCTTGGTCTCCAGAATTACCCTTTAGTTTATCATAATCTCACAAATGGATACTCCCCCCTCAGTTTACAGTAATTTTCCAAAGTACCCCTATTTCAGTATCGTATCCCTTCGTTGATCATACTACCCCAAAAAACATTTTTGTTTATCATAGTTTACCAAAGTATTCCATATTTCATCACAGTAGCCTAAAGTACCTCATAGTTCAATACAATCTTCCAAAGTACCCGTAGTTAATAATAATATCTAATAGTACCTTTAATTCAAAATAGTATTCCCAAGAACCCTTTAATAATAATATCCCTCAATATTATTATAAGATATTATGATGAATTACAATGTACTTTGGGATACTGTGATGAATACCAAGGCACTTTGGGGTACTATGATTAGCTAGGTTGTTTTTGGAAATACTATCATGGCGTACTGGGTACTTTGACTATGATTCTCAAAATAGTAATTTTAGATACAGTGATGAACTATTTTGGGTACTGATGAATTATGGAGTACTTTGGGATACTGTAATGAATTTCTGGATTTTTTTAATACTACGATGAACAAATGGTAGTTTTGAATACCATGATGAACTACGGCGTACTTTGAAAGACTATTGTAAGTTAAATTGAACTTTGAGGTACTATGATGAGCTAAGGAGTACTTGGGGATAGCATGATAACTATGTGCTACATTGCGAAACTGTGTTGAGTTACATGGTACATTTTGAGCCAATGATGAGCAGAAGGCTGCGTTAGGACACTATTGTCGAGAGCTTTAGCTTTGATGTCCATAGGGAATGGAAAGGATGGGGGAGGTAGAGGGATGGGGAGATGAAATTCAGGAAGAGGATGCGGGTGTAGAGAGAGAGAAGGTTTGAAAGTTCGGTGGCCTGTCCACCATGGGTTGACATTTTTGTATGTGTTGTTTGTTTGCGTATGTGTTATGTTGGGCTGTCAGTACATTGGCTTGGGGGGTTAGTGTTTGTGACCTTGTTGGTGTCCTAAAGCACTAGAGCCGATGGAGTTGGCTGAAGGAGGCTTATCTTAGCAACATCAGGGTAGTTACACTTCTGGTGCCACGACAAATGGTTTTTTGGTTGTATATTTTTTTGTAGGAGTTTTATTTATTTATTTATTATTTTTATTTATTTATTTTTTTATTTATTTATTTATTTATTTATATATTTATTTATTTATTTATTTATTTTTTTATTTATTTTTTTTCTTCTTTATTCTTCATTTGGTGTAGATGGGTCCGGGATCGGCCACTCATCTGGATAGTCTGGCAGGCCGCTTAGTATTTGAGGTCTTGGGAAGGCCTCATCATGGATGTCTCTGATCACTTTTTGTTGGAGAGTGATTCTTCTGGTTCTGTGTGGTGGTTCGTGGATCTCGTGGTCGCTGGTGGTGTTTTCTGCTACGTAGGGATCTTCGGGGTCTGGGACATACATGTTCTTCATGCGGTACAGCTGTCTTCTGGCCAGGTAGCTGAGCCTGATGTTCATTGACTTCATGTTGAGCGTCTCATGGATTTGGTCAGTTCTTACCCTGTCCATCAGAGTCAGGCCCTCCGCAAAGCGAAGTGCTTTGTTTTGTACTCGTTGGATCTTCAGCATGTTGGATTTGTTGGTGAGGTTCCGGGGAACGTAAGGGTATTCCAAGCTAGGCCTTATGATCATTCTGTACATGTGGAGCTTGATGTGGGATGGGGCTTGCTTTAAACGGAAGAACCTCGCCAGTGAACCCCGGGCCATCGCTGTCTTCTGGAATACGTACTGGGAGGAGTTGAGTAGCCTGTTGAAGTTGTAACCGAGCACTGTGTTGGAGTTTGAGATGGCTATGGGTTCACCCCTGATTCTTATTCCCCCGTCATTTTCGATTGAGAAGGCCATACAGCCGACAGTGCTTAATTGGATCTTTTCTGGGTTAGTGGTGATCCTCCATTTCCTTTCCCAGTTAGCAGTCCTGGCTAGTTTGAGAGATATAAAGTTCTACGTTTGCTTTACGAGTTACAGTTGCATGCTTGGCTGCTAGGGTTAGATGTTATTACGTGTGTTACGTCGTCCGCAAATTGCACGATAATGGTGTCCCTATACTCTGGTTGGGGCAGGTCGTTTACAAAGATGTTGAAGAGAACCGGGCTCAAGCATGATCCTTGGGGGACTCCAGCTGTTGGGGTGAAGGCTGCGGCCTCTTTTGCCTTGAAGCTGGGGGTAACTTGCCTATTCTTAAGGAAATTTCTGATCAGCCAGAGGAGGGTCCAGTTTTGCGCTGGTAAGTCTGCTAATTTGTACACAAGACCATCGTGCCACAGGCTGTCGAAGGCCTTGTGTACGTCCCTCGTCGCAATCAAAGCTACCTGTTTTTGCTTGTGAATTGAGCTTACGGCGTCGTAGATGATGTTTATTGCGTGCTGGGTTGATCTATGTCCTCGAAAGCCAAACTGCTTTTCTGTGAAGAGGTTGTTGTATTCCATGTAGTAGTTAAGACGGTTTGACATGATTTTTTCAAAGCACTTGCCTATTGTGTCTAAGAGGGAGATTGGACAGTAGTTGCCAGGTTGGTGGGGGTCTTTCTTGGGTTTGGGAATGAATATCATCTTGGCTGACTTGAATGCTACAGGAATGTGACCTGATGCCAGCATAGCGTTGAATAGGTTGAGTATGGATTGCAGAAGATTGCCTGGTAGAAGTTTGATCTGCAACGCTTTGATCCCTGATGGTCCTGGGGCCTTATCTCTGATGCTTTTGATGACTCCTCTCATCTCTAACATAGTTATGGGTCTTGTTAGAGGGTGGTCGTCTTCTAGGGTTGTCAGGTCTATCAGAGGGGTGCTATGAAGGGAGGCATCGTTTTCAGTTGTCCATTGGTTGACACGTTCAAAGTGAGCGTAGTATAAATTGTCGAGAGTACTTCCAGGAATTTCTAGCCAAAAGTTCCAGGTAGCTCATCATAGAATCACTAAGTATCCTTACGGTAATTGAAGTTTGCCAAAGTATTCTTTAGTTCATTATAATATCCCAAATACATTTAAGTTAATCATAGGATATAAATTTTTTTAGTAGTTCATCAATGTGTTCCATAGTAGCTTCTAGTCCATCATAGTCTACCATAGTACCTCTTAGTCCATCATAGTCTATCATGGTCTATCATAATACACTTAAGGTCATCATAATTTCCCAAAGTACCTCATTATAGTATCCAAAAGTACCTAGTAGATATTTATAGTATTCCAAAGTGCCTAGTAGATCACCAATCTCAAAATACCACCTAATTTATCAACGTCTCCAGAGAACCCTGTAGTCGATCCTAGTGTATTTAAGTACCTCTTAGTTTATCATTCTCTCCAAAAGGACCTTTTAGGTAATCATATGGTACTAAAGTTCCCCGTAGTTCACTATATTATCCCAAACTAATCCTTAGGAACAGTTTAGTAACATTTCCTATCTAATGTTCCTAAATTATGCTAGAGGCAAGGAATCGGGAATACACAAATACACTTAAAACTCAATAAAGCACTTTACCGTAATATCTTTAAACACTTCAGCCGATGTTACGGCCGATCTCCCCTGGAGATGATGTCCTCTCCCTGCACCCAAAGCCACACTGATCAAAACGCTGTCGAGGTGAAGCCGACCTTAGCTAGTGGCCAAACTTGCATATGTCCGTGTAGGGAATTTTATTGCGATCTCAGTGATACCAAATTTAACGCTGTAGGACAAGTGTGGAGTTGACTACCCTGAAAGAATAGAAACATTTCGTCGCTGTTAGGAGCTCACGGCTAGTGATCGACGTAGTTCTTTATTTGGTGCTGGTGTAACTCATGCTTTGGTGACATTTTATACATGTGTTCTTCTAGAACATTCTATTGCGAACACATTGGTACAAAAATGAAATACGTACATCAAAAATTATTGTCAGGACAGTGAAAAGAGTATACACTTTTCGGTGTTGCCGCTCCAGAGCCCGAAACGCGGCGCGTACAAGGGAAAAGTTTTTTTGTATCGTTTGCTGGGAGCGCGAAAGTGTGTCCCAAAGTACCCCTTAGTTCTACATTATATCCCAAAGTACCCCTTAGTTCTTCATTATATCCAAAAGTACCCTTTAGTTCTTTATAATATCCCAAAGCACCCCCTTGGTTCTTCAAAATATTCCCAAGTACCCCTTAGTTCGTCATAATATCCAGACGTATCCCTTATTCTTCTTCATAATACATCAAAGTACCCCTTAGTTTTTCATAGTATCCCAAAGTATCCCATAGTTCTTCATAATATCCCAAAGTACCTCTTAGTCGTTCATAATATCCCAAAGTACCCCTTAATTCTTCATAATATCCAAAAGTATCCCTTAGTTCTTCATAATATCCTAAAGTATCCCTTAGTTCTACATAATATCCCAAAGTACTTCCTAGTTCTTCATAATATCATAAAGTACCCCTTAGTTCTTAATAATATCATAAAGTACAACTTAGTTCTTCATAATATCCCAAAGTACTCCCTTAATACAGCATAGTCTCCGCAGATCATTATTGTCTCCCACACTAGTGCTGCTAACGCAGAGGCAGGGTAGAGTGAAGTGCAAGGTGCTACGGTGTTCTGTGAAGGACCTTGGCAATAGAATACAGAGTGAAGCAAAAATCATCAGTGTGCTGGGATGTTACCAGTAGCTGTTCATAGGCATTACCAACAAAGAAGATGGGAAGAGAGGTGAGAGAGGGGTTTCACACATGAAGACCCAGGGTATGCGTGTTAATGGCAGTCGAGGTCGGCCTCACTGCCACACTTTATGAAATATCGGCATCTAGACCCTCTTTACCCTTGAGATTTTTTTATGAAGTACACTTATTTATCAATTTTAGTGCTTCGGTATAATATATTTCCAGAGAAAGAAGAAAATCCTGGCAACAGAGCGGATATTTGTAGAGATAAAATGAGAGGGTAAGAGAGGAGAGGGTTGGATGGGGGTCAGGTAAGTTGGGGGGGGGGGTGTTAAGTAACGAGAAGTGAGATAAGGACTGGAATATGGGATGGGGAAGACCCGGGTTCAACCGGATTCCCCCGCCAAGAACCATACATATAAGACCAGTTAGGAAATTCATGGCATTAGCGTACAGACCATTTTCTGTCAGATACTATTGAAAACCCAGAGTTATGCCACCAGATATGTCCCAGAGCTGAGAGGCATTAGTGAAGATACACGATTACTATAATTACGACAGAAAATATTTAGGAAAGTATGTAAAAGCCGGGCAGAGGCAGGCTGTTTAACATAAGATGAATACGGAAGTAACCAAAGATCTTGATTGAATTACATGCACATTGATGTAAGGTATTGCTTTAGGGTTAGAGGAGGAAATTCACAATCACATTTTCATAGGTAGACATGACATCCCCCAAAGGTTCTAGAACCTGTTTACTTATCGACCGAAGTATGGGAAGCGTTTCATAAGAGCTGGAGTTAACACGACAAATCATCTAGGTAAGTATATACATGATTTAAAGCATTGTAGTGAGGATGTTTTAAGGATGCTTATCTTTTTCTCCCGGCAGGAACTGAGGCAAGGTGCAGCTCCACTTCAGAGATTGAGTGTCACAGGGACAGTCAGTGCATCGCCATCACCTCTGTGTGTGACTCCGCAAAACAGTGTAGCGACGGCTCCGACGAGGACCCCTACGTCTGTGAGGTACTGTGGTTCCTCCCTTCCTTGTTTGTTAGTGCATCTGCTCCGTCTGTGAGGTACTGTGGCCCCCCCTTTCCTTGTTTATTAGTGCTTCTACTCCGTCTGTGAGGTACTGTGGTTCCTCCCTTCCTTGTTTGTTAGTGCTTCTACTCCGTCTGTGAGGTACTGTGGCCCCCCTTTCCTTGTTTATTAGTGCTTCTACTCCATCTGTTAGGTACTGTGGCCCCCCTTTCCTTGTTTACTAGTGTTTCTACTCCGTCTGTGAGGTACTGTGCCCCACCCCCCTTCCTTATTTGTTAGTGCTTCTGCTCGATCTGTAAGGTACTGTGCTTCCCCCTTTCCCTGTTTGTTAGTATTTTGCTCCGTCTGTGTGGTACTGTGCCTCCCCCCCTTTCCCTGTTTGTTAGTGTTTTGTTCCGTCTGTGTGGTACTGTATCCCCCCCCCTTCCCTGTTTGTTAGTGTTTCTGCTGCACCTATGAGGCACTATGCCTCCCCTTCCTTGTTAGTGCTTCTGCTCCGTCTGGGAGGTATTGTGCCTCCTTCCTTGTTTGCTAGGGATTCTGCTCCGTCTGTGAGATCCATACCTCCCTGCATTGTTTGCCAGCGTTTCTGGTCCAAATGTGAGAGCCACAACCACCATTATTGTTTGTTAGTTCATCTAGTATAGCTGTACCTTGGTCAGTCAGTGGTGTGGGGCGGTTTGTGCTCTATTCAACGTGTTCTTTTTATTATTGTTTAAAAAGCCAACTCCTTCTCTGGTCACTGTACTCTTTTCACTGGATATTCATTTCATTTGAAATTCACATCAATAATTTTCCTGTCTCATGACAATTGGCTCAAATATGCAGCATAAAACTAATCTAAATTAGTGCGTGTGATTCTCTTCTGACGGAGATCAGGCAGCGATCTCCGGCAGCGATTACTTTGATGGAATAATTGACATCTGCATGTCGTACAATCTTCCGCTGTGATTTACAATATATAAGACTTTTGTGGGCGTACAGGTTACCGATGCACTGGCACAGCTACACCAGCGTTCACTGTGGATAGGGGCAGCAAGGTGAAGGGCTTATTCACCAATATAGGTAAGAGTAATGGATGAGGTGAGTTCCGACGGTGTAGTTATAAAAAGCAAATATCAGATTCCCATCATAAGGAGCTTTTACAGTAAAGCAAGGGACTTTATTCGTTTCAGATGCATTTTCAAGCGTTGCTGATACATGAAGAGAAAAATGTCCGTAGTGTCACTTGTGTTGCTTTACAAATTTCTGTCCCTCCAAGTCCGATCGACATGGACAGAACAAGAGGTTATTAAAGTATCTAAAATACGACTAGGTCAGAGCAAGAGGTTACTAAATTACTTCACGAATACAATTGTGAATTGCCCAGAGCACGATATAACTTGCCGAAGATTGTGTGTGGCCGGGTCAGTCAGCGACGGGCAGAGTGTCTTAGGACTGGCTAGGGTCTGGTTGTGTTTAGTTAACTATAGGGACGACGACGCTCTCAGAAAGATTTAGGAATACTTTGTATTTAATAGAAACTAAAGTAAATGACTTTGCAGAATTTGTTATTGATGTCATGACTTATTGTATTGTTGTTCTAACGAAGTTTGAAGTATTTATTACCTTAGAAATGTCATAAGGATTTGTGATTTATTAATTTTTTTGAAAAAAAAACGTTCAAGCCAAGATGACTACTGTAATGCCAGGGGGACTAATGATTTATTTTAATAATTTAATCATTACACCTTAAACGACATGACATGAAGATCTTTGTGATTGTTAGAGTATATTTATTATTTTGCTTAGGTCCACTCCTGGAGCTCCCACTGGACGTTTCAGTAACCATACAGGTTGACATTCAGTTACTTGGGAGTGGACGCCTCTTATAAGTAGTCACAGGACAGACGTCCACCTGGTCACACAAATCATAACAACCTCTCTAGTTGTCCAGAATACATTGTTACGAGGTTGAGGTTACGAGGATATGAGGTTACCATGAAGGTTCATCTCGTTCTTGCCAGCGTTCCCAATGTCTGGAAACTGTTATGCTAAAGTGACCTATCCAAACCTACCAGAGAGTAGTAGGGAGGAAGAGCCAGCGGCCCTTTTTTTTTTTTTGGAGAGAGGACCCCTGTGGACTGTAAGAGCCAGCGGCCCTTTTTTTTTTCTGGGAAAAAAAGTGCCTGTGCGCCCCAAGGGTTTCAGGTAAATTTAGAATATCCCCTGTGCGCCCCAAGGGTTTCAGGTAAATTTAGAAAATCGTGTATAGCGCTTGGGGGTTTTCAGGTAAATTTTGTCAGTCGCAGATTTTAGAAGTAAGGATTTCTTATGAGAAAAATAATTTCCGAGACTTAGAAGTTTGTTAAAGCCTTATGGGAGAAATTCAAATAACGTGTGTAGCACTTTAGGGCTTCCAGGAGAACTCTACGGACATATTTTACATGTTTTCAACTTACAAAATCGTCTATGTAAGCCTTAGTTATTCATATAAATTTAGAAAATCACCTGTGTAAGTCAGGGTTTTCAAGTCTCGTACATCACACCCCCCTCCCTCCCCCCTTACCTCGCAATCTGTCGCGTCGCCTTTATTTACTTTGCGCCCAGCCAGCCAGTCGGCTCTTAATCTTATCTTATCTTATCCGTAATATCTGGACCGTCCCTCCTCTCTCTCTCTCTCTCTCCTTTCATTCAGTTCAGTTCAACTATTTTCCAACATCGTATGTTTTCTCCTTTTCATTAAGCAAGTCAGTTTTACACAAATAAATCATGTTAGTAAGCAAGTTCTAGCTCACGTTCCCCCACCTTAGTCCCCTGTCATATAATGAATACTATCATTCCAATCCCTCTAAAATTTAAAAATAATCATATTTCAAACGTAGTTCAATACAGTAATTTAGTTACCAAGCTCCAGCGCTTGTCCTCCGCCTTAGCTCTCTCTCGTATCTTCGTTAGTATCAGACCAATTTCCCTGAAATTTTCACCCTCTGTATTTCAGGCACCATAAATAAGATCAAAACAGTTACCAAGCTCCAGCGCTTGTCCTCCGCCTTTGCTCTCTCTCGTATCTTCGTTAGTATCAGACCAATTTCCCTGAAATTTTCACCCTCTGTATTTCAGACACCATAAATAAGATCAAGTCAGTTACTGAGCTCCAGCGCTTGTCCTCCGCCTTAGCTCTCTCTCGTATCTTCGTTAGTAACAGTCCAATTTCCCTGAAATTTTTACCCTCTGTATTTCAGGTTCCGTAAATAAGATCAAAACAGTTACCAAGCTCCAGCGCTTGTCCTCCGCCTTAGCTCTCTCTCGTATCTTCGTTAGTAACAGTCCAATTTCCCTGAAATTTTTACCCTCTGTATTTCAGGTTCCGTAAATAAGATCAAAACAGTTATCAAGCTCCAGCGCTTGTCCCCCACCTTAGTTCGTTTATACAAGATCGTTAGTAACAGTCCAATTTCCCTGAAATTTTTACCCTCTGTATTTCAGACACCGTAAATAAAATCAAGTCAGTTATCGAGCTCCAGCTCTCGTCTCCGCCTTAGTTCTCCTTCATATCTTTGTAAATAACCCATCATTTTCCCAAAAATTAAAAGCAGACAGACTTCAAAGTTAGTAAATAAGATCATGGCAGTTACTGAGCTCCAGCTCTCGTCCCCCGCCCTCTTCCACCCTCAAGTCTTTGTAAATAAACCATCAATTTCCCCGAAATTTTTTACCCTCTGTATTTCAGACATAGTAAATATGAAGTAAACAATTATAAAACTCTAGCTCTTGTCCTTTGTCCAAGCTCACTTTTGTAAATTCATTACTCTCAGTCCAAATCACCCAACTACATTTTCAGACATAGTAAATAAAAACCAGTTCAGTTATCAAGTTACAACTCTTGTTCCCCAGCTTAGTTCATTTGTGCAAGTTCTTTATTTTCCAACTAAATCACCCTGAGATTTAAGATCACCTTATTTTCTAACGTAGTAAAATTAATCTGGACATTAGCCTTAGATCATCAGACATAAATATATTCGATCAAGTCCGTCTCCAGCTTATCTCTTATCCGAGTATACACATAACCCCAACCTGTTTAATTATCTTTCACCCCCTCCCGCCTTCCTCCATCTCATCCAAGTCTCATAAATTTAAATGTAGCTGTTAATTTGCGTTCTTTCCCGTTCATAGCATATTCTCTGTAAGTTCAGATCTGTACTTAGTCTTACATATTCTCTACTTCTTTCCCATTTTATACAAGACTTAAACAACTATTAACGTCTCCTCTATCTTATTTAAACATGAGTCATATGTAAATATACCCGACTCTTTCCATCCATTACAAGTCCTAGCTTGTTCACCACCCAACTCACTACGCTATTTCTACTCTACATGTTATAGCATGTTTTCCGCTCATCTTGGTACCAACCCTTACAATCTCTCTCTCATTCCTTTACATGTCTCAGCAGCATGTCTCAGCATGTTCGCCTCGCATCTTACTACGCTGTCTACTTTACATGTTGTAGCGTGTATTACTGTGTCCCATATCTTATTTAAACATGAGTCATATGTAAATATACCCGACTCCTTCCATCCATTACAAGTCCTAGCTTGTTCACCGCCCAACTCACTACACTGTCTACTTTACACGTTGTAGCATGTTTTCCGCACATCTTGATACCATCCCTTACAATCTCTCAATCCTTTACACATCCCAACTTTCAACCCTTTCTTACAATTTTCCTCCATCCCTCCGCTACATGTTCTTACCCGTTCATTACAGTCCACTACATATTCTCTAATCATCTCTGTACTAATTCTCAAAACTAGTTGTTTCTGTCATTTTAGTAAGTAAGTAAGTAGATCATCGTTACTAACAACAACAACAACAACAACAACAGTAACATTACTAATTCACAGTAAGTTACTACTGAGCATTTAGCAGTTATCCATTTTCAAATAAGGTCAATATAAATCATTCTAAGACATCTTCGTACAATTAAAGATACTTGCCTGTG